GAGCAAGGGAACCTTTACCTTTTTACTGAAGAGAACAGCCCTGAGGCTCTTTCCATTGTGTTTGCTGCCTAAGGGAACAGCTATAGTTCTCTAGCCTTTGGAAAACCTAATGCAGAAGAAGCACAGTGGTATGGCCTTTATCCTCCATCCTCCAATGTGTCAGGCATTGCTTAGGGTCCCTCCAACCCAAAAAGGGAATTCACCATGTGCAGTGCTTGGGACGGCATTAGGCAATTTAATAAACTGTTGCATTGCGGCTTTCATCCTGTGGAACCAACTCACTTGCAAGATTTCCCCCCTTACTCCGCTTCCATGGACTACTGGGTCATGTTGCACAATACTCCGGTTTTCAGTTTTGTGTTAATTTAACTAGCTTAAAGCTAAGGTAACGCCTCTATGTGCCGTTGCTCATCTCTGTTTCCAAGCCGAAGAGCCAGCGCTGTCCAAAGATCTTTCCGTGGTCATGTGGCCAGCATGACTAAACACCAAGGCTGTTACATTCCCACCAAAGTGGTATCTATTTATCTACTTGCAATTCTTGCTTTCGAACTGCTAGGTTGGCACGAGCTGGGACCAGAGACGGGAGCTCACTCCATCATGCAGCACTCGGGTCTCGAACTGCCAAACTACAGATCTTCCGGTCTGCAGCTCTGTGTCTTAACCTCTAAGCCACCACGGCACCCACAGCTTAAAGCTACCTAGCTATATATTTTTTTAAAAAATTAAATGCATTTAATATGGCAATGGGTCACGCTGGCAGGCCACTGTATTCGTTCACACCTGACTTACAACTTATCCCTTGTAACAATATGTGGATGGCTCTGAGTTCCTTTAACAGTTATAATACACAAAGTCTAGTTGTAAGAACAAGACAAAATGCTGCATTTTAAAGAGGGGGGATGAGATGACTCTTTTGATGAAATAAACGCAGTGCATTGTCTTAAAGTCTGTTATTTAATGTTGCTAAATCCTAACACTGGTTTCTGTTTTATCAGAGCTTTCCATTCATAAAGGATGCTTTAAAGGATGACATAAAGTGCCTTAAGGATCACCTTCTCCCATATGAACCTACCTGTATGCTCTGGTCATCTCTGGAGGCCCTGCTCCAGGAACCCCTGCCATCTGAGGACCCGAGAGAAAGCTTTCTCGGTCAGGGTACCCAAACCTTGGAAGTTCCTCCCTAGGAAGAACTTTGTCTGTTCCCCTCTACTGGTGTCTTCTGTGAGTGGTCAAAGACCTGCCTACCACTTTTCTTCTCACCTTTACACAGAGAGTACTCCATCTTTCCATGTTATACCTCTGAGGATGCCAGTCACAGCTGCTGGTGAAATGTCAGGTCCTGCAATGCCAAGACCACGGCCGTACAACCCGGAAAATCTACAACAGCTAACTTTTTTGGTGTGTTTGGCATGCCCCCGGTAATGGTTACGGGCCCTCCCACTTGGTTCCGGCGTTGTTTGTGTGTTTTACTGAATTATTTTATCATTTTAAATGCATTTTTAATTGTCCAAATATTTTATTGTTGTTGTTGCTTTATGTTCACCACCTTGGGAACCCGGATCGGGTGGAAAAGCGTCATAAAAATGTTTTAAATAAATAATTAAAATTGGAAGGTGGTCAGGATGATTTGAAGCCTCCTCCCCTGCAATGCATCTGGGGTTAAGTAAAGTGACATTTGGGGCACAATGGTACAAGGGCCCCATTTTGACATCTTTGCTGCAGATGGCCGTTCTCTCTTCTCTGATTCTCTAACAACATGCATTTCCATTTAAGGGCATATGAAAAAAAATGCAACAATATAGAACGG